TATTTTTAATAGAGATAGGGTTTCACCATGTTAGCCAGGATGGTATCGATCTCCTGACCTTGTGATCCACCTGCCTCAGCCTCCCAAAGTGCTGGGATTGCAGGCTTGAGCCACGGCACCCAACCAAGATAGACATCTCTTAATGGCTACTTTCCCAACAAAAAGCTGGATCAAAGGCAATTCTGGGGAGATGGCTGTGACATGATGAGAGTGCCACCTCCCTGCAGAATGCCATAATTACTCCCAGCCCCAGCGGCAGTCACCAGGGTTCTGCCCCAAACAGTAGAGGGCTGTATAAATAAGCAACACCTGAAGAGTGACATCACAGGCATCTGTGCAGCACCAGGCTCAATGACTCCCAGATAACAAGACGGGCAGGACTGAGACCTCTCCCTTCATGACAAAGCAGTTCTGAGGATCCATTAAGATGGCCACAAAAGGAGCCTCCACCACAGACCCCTTTGCGTTGTGCTTTCTTGAGAATCAGGCAGAGTACAGCTAGCTCTCTAAAAGGGCTTCTAAGCCCTCCCAAATCAGGCAACTGGCTGTGAGGTGGCTGGCACTGTGAGGGCTGGGCACAGAACCTCGGGGGTGTCTGACTTTGAAGCTGGAAGGAACCTTAGAGACCATTTTCCTGCATCCCCCACCTCCACGCTTGAATGGAAACTAGGGAGAGGGGAGGAAGTAACCAGTTACCAAACGTCCTATTTTTCCTGTCCTGTTCCCACATGACCAAAGATTGCAGCTCAGCACACGAGCACAGGCACATTCTAGAAAGCTTTATTAGTGATAAGTCATAACTGCTTCCATGTCACAGGTGTTGATGCCCCGCCAAGAGATCAGTAAAAACACTAAGCCATTTGCCAACACGTAAAGATTCTAAGATACAAACTGATCGTAAAATGCATACCAGGATATTTTCAGCTGTACCTGTCTTCCAAGTGCAGGAAACCTCATGTCTCATCTCGAGAGCTATACGCCCCCTCCCAGGCTCAAAGGAAAGCCTTCTCAGACTAAGGAGTCATAGCTTTTGCCCAGAAATGCACTCATCATCTCTCACCTACACCATTCAACCCTCCTAACTGGCTTTCAAAGTTAACCTGCCTTCAGTCCTTACTCCAGTGGAAACCAGCCAAGGCAGTCTTGCTAAAATCAAATTTATACATGATGTCCTCGCTTAAAACCCTTGAGTCTCCCCTTTGCCTAGAGGGCAGCTCAAATAACATTCTGTCATGCAAAAGCCTTTAGGATCTAGCCCCTGCCTCCTTCTCTAGCCATAGGAGCATTTCTCCATCTCCTTCTAGAACTTTACAGTCCAGTAGCAAGTAACTGCTGGCATTTCCTGGCACACAGCACAGAGTCTCTGGCCTTTGTGACTTTACACTCCCTTCTCTATCGTTTTTCTCTGCCTCAACTGAATCTTCCTCTGAATGATCCACCTGGGCAAATCCTCACCCTTTAAGTCAACTCA